TCTCTCTCTCTCTCTCTCTCTCTCTCTCTCTCTCTCTCTCTCTCTCTCTCTCTCTCTCTCTCTCTCTCTCTCTCTCTCTCTCTCTCTGTATTACTGTATTGCTCTCCTCCATCATTCTCTGCTTCTCTCAGGACAGTTTTCCTTTTGTTTTTACATACCTATCTCTCAGTATTTTACTGAGGCTTGTTGCATCGTTTCATTCAATCCTTTCAAGCTGGTGCTGGTCTTTTGGTTGGTTTCTCGTTTTCTTTTTGTATCTTTACGATTCAGTCTTTGATGTTGATGAATGTTCATATTAATTGAATATTAAAAATAGCTAAACGTTTTTATATTTGAAGAGCTTTCTATAAGTCAGCAGTTCACTGCAGAAAATGGGACCAGCTGCAGAATTACATTATGCAATATTTCTACAAAATAGGGCGCATAGTCTATGTATTCAACCAATGTCATGCCAAGTAAAGAAAAGGTTTGAAAAAACCAAGCTGATTACCACAAGATAGCGACAGACACAGAATATCACTGTACTGTTTCACGCATGCAACACTTTTATTTTAAAAGTAAGTTGACATTTTGCAACTTCATTTCTTGCTAAAAGTTGCATGAGAGAACACCTTCCTGAAGGCTCTTGGCAATTTGACATTGTTGACAAGACATTATATAACTCATCGTCTACCAGAGCATGTTGTTTTTACATATGTGTTTGTTTGAGGATCAAACGACACATATTGTGGTAATTAGTGTGTTTTTGAGGATATAGGAGGTTACATTTTTTCATTTTGCAGAGAGTGAGCTATATAGCTGTTTCAGTCTTTATGCTATGTTATGATAACTGGCTGATTGTGGCTGCTTCTTATGAAACATAATGACACCAGAGGGGTCTAAATGTTCTCATCTTCAGTCAAATTCAGTGATAATGTTGGTTTTCCATCACATAATCATGCTTTTAATGAAGATATGGTGTAAGAATCAACCTCCCAATGTTTGGAACTCACCCTTCATATCTCTGGCCACAGAATCAGCACTATCCAATCTGGTGTATCTACCTGACCCTCTCAGAAACCCACTGCCCTACGGGACACCTGCACGGTATAAAAGAAAGCCGGGTCTTTCAGAGTGGTGGGAGAATTGGTGTTTCATGTCCCCTCCACAGTGACTCTGAAAAGAGCAATATAGAAGATTAAGATGACATCAGGGTTGGCATGAGAGTTATCCTCTTAATACCCTGACAGGTGCTGTTCATGGCGGCAAAGCAGCCCACAGTGAGTCCTGTAGAGAGCTGCATGTCAGACCACGGGCCGGGTCGATACCCTGAGGCGGGGACATATGCGTTTAGCTCTTGATCCACCCAGTCACTTCTGGACTGGCTTATAAAAGGGATAGCTGTAACCCTTCCATGTATCAGTTATTTACTTAAAGGTCCCCTATTATACTCTTTTTGATCAATATATTATAGGTCTCAGACATATACAAAACATGTCTCTGAAGTGTTTGGCTCGAAATACCAAACAGATCATGCATTGTAGCATCCCATAAACCCCTCTGTTTCAGCCCCGTTTCAAAAGTGCTGATTCTGGGTCTGTTACTTTAGATGAAAATAAGGAACCACTCCCCACGCCCCTCTGAGAGATATTTGGTTAAAAAGAACACAATGGTGCTCTAGGAAGAGATTCAGGTGATAAGGTGGGGGGGGGGGTTACCTTGGTTGGTGATTGGCTAATGGTTGCAAAAGCCAAAAAATCGTACATTTCCAGACAGGTTTTTCACAAAAGCACAAAAAGAGAGCAAATCTTTTTTCCTGAACATTTCAGAATCTCTTAACGCAGAGGGGAAACATATTTATGTATAAAAGACATGAAAAGTGGATTTTGCATAATAGGTGACCTTTAAATATATCACATGAAGATAAACCGTATGCAACTTAATTTTAAATGACACTACTCTAGGTGTTACAAGCAGGCTCGCTCTCGAATGCGTGTGTAAAAGTAAAAATGCGTGTTATTTTTAAACATGGCTATTCTAGGTAACGTGGATAATGTCACTTCCCCTGCCATAAGCCCAGCGTGTGATACCTGAGGGTGGGTGTGTGTGTGTGTGGTGTGTGTGTGTGTGTGTGTGTGTGTGTGTGTGTGTGTGTGTGTGTGTGTGTGTGTGTGTGTGTGTGTGTGTGTGTGTGTGTGTGTGTGTGTGTGTGTGTGTGTGTGTGTGTGTGTGTGTGTGTGTAGTGTGTGTGTGTGTGTGTGTGTGTGTGTGTGTGTGTGTGTGTGTGTGTGTGTGTGTGTGTGTGTGTGTGTGTGTGTGTGTGTGTGTGTGTGTGTGTGTGTGTGTGTGTGTGTGTGTGTGTGTGTGTGTGTGTGTGTGTGTGTGTGTGTGTGTGTGTGTGTGTGTGTGTGTGTGTGTGTGTGTGTGTGTGTGTGTGTGTGGTTGTGTTAACAGTGCTGTCCTTTTAATCAGCCCCCCTGTGTGTTCCCCCTGTAGAGCTGTCATTGGTTGAGTGATGATGTTGGAGCTGCCACTGTTCATAACATTTAAATCTGCCAGGCAGGGGTGAGATTACCAGCCCTCACCTGTTGCCCTAATCAAAGGAATTATTACTGCCCCGCTGGATGTTACTAAGAATAGCACAACCTCTAAAAATACACACATTCTCTAAACACACACACACAAAGTGAAAGGGTAGAGAGAGAGAGAGCCTATCAGGTAGCAAAGTACATCATTCTTTGTTTGATTTTGTGTATCCATAATTGGACTATCCAGGAAGTGGTGTTTTCTGGGAGTTTCCATGGTTGCTCAGCGCTCTTGTTTGCTTGGTTTTATTTATTATAGTTTATTGGGAAGCTGTTTTTATCAGCCTTATGTCAGTACTCTGTATTTGAATGTTTAGTCAGTTTGCTAGCTGGATTAGTCGACAGTTGATGGATTGGCTATCTGTTATCTGTTTTTTTATTATAGCTGTCTGTGTGCTTCTCTTTTCTGAACCCTACTTCTGTGTTCTCACCAAAATATTCAGCGAAACATAAATCCTGGTCTCGTGTGACACGGCTTCCCTTTTTTGGTGCAAAGTGTATACCCACTGATCCTCTCCCTGCCTGAAGAGGCCTGTGAACAGCACTCGGCCCGTGAGGCCACTTGACCTCTGGAATATTTGATCCACATAAGCTGCCACTGGGAGAGAGGCCCATCCACATGAAGAGGAGAGGAGAGAGGGAATGGGAGAGAAAGATGGAGGGAAAAAATATGGAAAGAGTTGACTCAAAGGACAGGATGGATGGGTTAATAATGAGCAGATCAATGGGAGATGACCTGTTGCAAAAATATTAACACCTTGAATCGGTTCCTGATTACTCCATTGATTTTTTTGCATTTAATTCCCTCGTGAAGGAAATACTTTTAGGTGAAAAAAAATCTTTATATGCGGTTTTATGCAGCTCAATCATGCCATAATAATGGAAGAGCAGCAAGACACCTCATCCAAGATGAGGTGCCTTGCTGCTCTTCCATTCAAAGGGGGCTGAGCGGCATGTTTTGTTCAATTTACACCATTGTTAGTTGATAACACAAATCTGTTGAACCCTTCAAAAATAATATGTGCCCATTGGACCAATGCTGTCTCTCAGAGATGAAAATGGTTGCTTTGTGTTGACCGTTAAAAGATATAATGCCATAAGGTAACTAAAGCAGTATACAGTGTACTATTGCGAACTTTGCTATTATGTGCAATCTGAAAAAGAACATCTTTGTTTTGTCAGTATGTCCTTTCAGTACCTAGCCTCAATAATACATGTTTGTTTAGCATGGTACTGTATGTCCTTGGTGCACATTATGTAAAGGACAGCCTTGAAGTCTTCTTCATTATGGGTTTACACGTGATTCAGATAGTAACAGAGATGGTTCTAATAGGAAAGTCCCATCCTCCAGGAAATGGCTACTCAGAAAGTAATAAGCAGAGGGCTTGTGTAAATTATAACATAACAATGAAAGTGATTGTTTCCAGGATAACAACATACAGTCATTTGGTAATTATGACAACATTAAATTCCATATAATAACATCTTGAATGATAAAGGTTACATCCTTTACAAAAATGTTATAGAAAAGACATACTGGATGATAAGCCTTCTGCAAACGGAGCAAAGGGGTCACTCACAGGACACATTTTGTTTTACTAAGCTTACAAAAATCAACATTAATAAACTAGGGTAATCCCAGATGTTAATACAATCTGCAGAACAGCAACTTTACCGCACTTGAAAGCTATCCTGCCGTGTCTTCGCTTATCTGGCTAAGTTTATCTTGCAAAGTGACTGTGTAAAGAAACCATTACCGTGCGCCACAGTTCCTGTCCTCCTCTGGGCAGAGCAAGATGGAGCTGTGATGAAGAGGTGACGAAGGACACCGGCAGAGTCTAAGTACAGGAAATGTTCAGGAATTTGTCTTGTCCCTAGTGCGGACATACTGTAAGGATAAAAAATGGCTTGCCAAGTGGCGGATTATCCTCTTTTCCATCTATAGCTGTGTTCATTTTTCACTCCTTCTCTCTGTCTTTCTTTCATCCCTATTATGTACTTTACATTTAAAGCTTTTAGTAAACCATCCTCCTGCTCAGTGACATACCGACCACTCACCAGCCACAGCAGAGCAGATGTGGAGGTGGTGTCAGTTCATTCTAATTTCCCAGCTCATATCTGCCAATCTTTCTGACGAAAGCAGCCTTTTCTTGAGGGAAGCAGTTTCCCATTACAGGTTTATTAAGCAGAAGCCAGAGGACTGATTACAAATCTGAACAAGCGAAGTAGAATGAGGCCCACCAGGGAGGGCGAATGATTGCACCACAGTGTGTGTTGTGCATGTGTATGTTTTAACAGGGTTGTTTGTGTCGGTGTCTCCCCTGAAGGCATCACAAGCATCTGTAATATAACTGTAAGTGCAAGTCCAAGATGATGCTTAAATAACAAAGTCTCCTTTCTCCCCTTTTCCTTCTATTTATCTCTTGTTTTCTTTAGAGTGGTCCAGTGCTGTCCTCCGGTGTTTCCCCTCCCCTTCAATTTTCTGTCCCTGTGTCTGTCACCTGGTAAGTTCACCGTTCACACTTACCTCCCACATATATATATATACAGTTTAGAGGCTTTCAGTGTGTTTCATCCTTTACATAATCAGCCCCTCTGGCCTGCCTTGAGCTGCAAAATTGCTGTCACCTTTATAAAACAGAGCATCATTCACTGGTAATGTACACGGAGAGGCATTGTGCCAAGTCGGCAGGGTTTATAGCACATGATAGGCATACATACAGCTGATGAGTATACTGATTATTAATGGGTTGGAGTCAACTGCAACCAACTGTGGTAGGTTTCCCAAGCATAATTAAAGTTTTAACTGTGATATGTCCGATCTTTGGGGTAATAATCACCTTTATATTTATGTATGCTTACTTAAACAGGATGTCTCCTTTTGCTATTTCTGAATGACAACTGTGTTGTGCAGAATCTGAATGCGGGAACAGACTAGCATTGATTACATGAAGTCATCTTCTGTATTCACGTGCCACTCAGAATCCAGTTTATTGCCAAGCTTTGACCACCATAATTTGTCCATGGTCAAAGGATTATACCTCCTAATATTAAGCGGACAATTCAGCAAGTGCTTTTTGCACGTACCCAGGAAGCCTAAACACAAGCCAGCTCTAATGTTTAAGGCCCAGCTATCTGTTATCACCAATTACAGGGCTTGTTTACTAGAATGCAGGGGCCGGGTTTTTAATGATGGGGGTAGAAAGTCTCTGTTTAGATATGTATGTTCTCTGGTTAGGCCTAAGGGGTGGTCCCTGTGTTTGTGTCTATAAATACACACTGGGATCCCGTTCAGTGGCTGAAACTCTCCAGTTTGTGTGTATGGTCCGTGTGTGTTTATGACACCGCTGCAGCCAGGCGAGCCTGAGGCTATTACTGGCCAGCCGGGTTGCTATGGAGACCAGTGGTGTCAGAGAAGAGCAACATCTGTGGGGTTGTTAGTCGAGACAGGTTTTCCTCTTACTGTCTTTCCTCTTTTTTCACCCATCAGTCCTGTAGTCTAAAAACTCTCTGCCTGGGAACGCTGAGCAGAATTATGAACATGTTCCAGTGTCGCATCATTAGTGTTTTCAAACATTGGTAAACATGGCCCTTGAGAGTGGAACTGATTTTTAAGAGCGGTAATTTCTTGGCTAATAGTTGAGCTGCCTACGCTTAATCAGGCTCACAGTGGGCCCTCAGGCTGTGTCAGTCAGCGGGGACCCACTCGGAGACTCTTCACCAGTGGAAAGCACACATTCTGGGGAAGCATTTAACCTCCTGCCCCCTTCCTGCTCCTTCCTGCTCCCTCTCTCCAAAGCTCCCCTCTCTATATGGACATGTTCTATTTCCACAGCGCCTTTCTCCTGGCTGCCTTATCAGTAGCTCAGCAGGGCATACATTCTTATTTAATAGGTACTTATTTGGGCAATAGTTTGCAAATTCAGCAACCCCTCCTCCCTCCACTGTCCTCATCCTGCCCACTTCCCCTTGTCTCAAACACTCCATCATATTGGTATTACTCATTTTTAGTTGTTCTGTCTTTTCTGGGTTCCCCCGTGTCCCCCTCTGGGATTGCAACTTTAAGGAGAATGTGCGAAAACGGCTGCATCTTTGGCTAGAATTTCAGACTTCCAAAATGGAGTTTGTATTATTGAGTATCCATTCGTTTGGAACATGTTAATCCCCTTTAGGTACAGTGTCTTACCCTGTGGTGCAATTGTGCAGTAGCCAGAGCAGACCGTGAACTCTAAGTGCATTGGAGTTCATCTGAGGAGAATTTAATCTTTTGCAAATGAAACGCAGAGGCTTCTCACATAGGTCAACCGGAATATGTTGTATGTGTATCTGCAGTATTTCTGACCATGTTTGGGTAAAAACCTGGCCCCATAGAGCCCTCAGCAGGGTATATGTAGCTGGGCAAACCAAACCTTCGACCTCCTAATCTGGTCTGAAGTAGACGGTCACACACAGCACAGTGCAGCACAGGGTCTGTGATGTAACAGTCATTTGGGGATAATTTAGTATTTTCACTCTGCAGGCCTCGCGCTGCAAAGGCCAGTTACCTAACGTCCATGCCTACATTAACAGGCTTTCACAGGTTGCCCTGCACCTACATTCCTCACCTCCAAGTGAAACATCAATCTATTTACTGTATGCCGAGATTAGATTAAGCCTTGGGTTAGATACTTGCTGTGTCCTCTCATACCTCCAGGATTATAACATGACAGTCAAAGATACAGTGAATATGTAAACTACTCTATCTGCAAAGAACCTCATTTTGTGTTCGGAAAAGAATGTTACTTCCTGAGCCAGGGCTTTTGACATAATAAGTTAAAGAAAGGAAATATGTCACATCCACATCACTCAAAATATTGTACCCATGGTATGTCCAACACTTGCTAGACTTTTGAGTCTTTCTAATACCACTGTTCCGGTGGGATGTTTCTATTATTAACCAGACACGGATACCGTCTCCTCACAAGCTCCTCATGAAAAATAGTCTTTTCCATGTTCCATTTGCTGGCTTCAGTTTCACATATCCATCACTGAGCATAGACTGAGGATTTCTAGTTATATTTATATTTATATTTTTTCTATAGAATAGAAGTCCCCATAGCTTTGCATAAATGATACAGTTCATTATCTTCCTAGAAAGGTAAGTTTGTTCTGTTCCCATCTTTCCAAATAACTTGATTTCTTTTTGCACCCATTATACTTGCAAATATAAGTTCCCGGGTTAAGTGCCTCTACCTCATTACATTCAGGGAACTCCCTCACTAAGTGCCTTTTTAAACAGACACACAATCACACATGCGTGCACACACAGTTAAACACGCAGTGCTCTAAATACTTCTGATTAAGATGCTGATAACCCGGGGACAGCCCTTACCCCTCTCTCACCTCCTTCTCTCGTGTTCCCTCCAAGGGGCCTCAGTATTCCCTATACACACACACACACACACACACACACACACACACACACACACACACACACACACACACACACACACACACACACACACACACACACACACACACACACACACACACACACACACACACACACACACACACACACAAACGTCCACATTTGGCCGAGGCTTCAGGGCATCATTTATTAGGTGGCTACTCGGTCCATTAGGCCATGTGTTAAATTCTTTGTGTAACTCAATTTGGCAGAGGGTGAACTTGGATGACTATATATAGAACTCTTTGAGCATGTGTGTCCCAGTATGGGTGTGTTTTTATGATCTCATTTACATCTTCATCTGTGGATCAGTAGGAGTGACTCTGCAAACTGACCCAACAAAGGTCCAGTGTTTGAAAGTGAGGGAGATCCTACTGCTGCATTCTAACGCAGGGAGAGTCTTATTGACGTCCATGCTGTATGGTTGATATTTTTGTGGCAAGTGCTCGCATGTGGACATGTGTTCTGATCGAGCCCAGCACTGAAGTCAGTGTGTGTGACTGAAAGGCAGCCAGGTTCCAGTATCCCAGGCTCGAGTTAATTATGTAACCCGTGAGTGAGCAGGGTGATCTCCACTATAAAAGGCAAAGAAGAGGGTAGGAGAGTCATTTGGCTTGGAAAAATACATTCTTCCCTTCAACAGCGTAATACTTCCTCTTCCACAGTCCCAGAGAAACAAATAGTGATTTTAGGTTTTTGTTCATACAATACAAAACAAACCTTCCATCAGCCATCGGGCCACCAAAAATGTTTTTTCGTAGCTGTCAAATATTTTATATCAGTGTGTAATCAAAAAAGAAAAGAGTGCAGTGTTAAAGTTTCAAAAAGTATTCATCAAATGTTAGACATAATTGACACAAGAGTAAAAGTAGATATCTGATTCTCCAGAAAATGCAAATAAAAATGTGACCTTTGAAGATATATAACACACCCAATAGGGTCATTTAAGACCATTTTAATTGAAATAATTGGTATATCAACCTTTAAAATCAGTTGTTATGACCAATGATTTTCCACTTTCATTTTAAGAAGAGGATTATGGAGGGTGGTACTGAGCTGGAATCCATGTAATAGTACGGTCACTGATCACTACTTATCTACCTGCAATTTTCTCATAATCCATTGTGTGAGTTTGTGGATTGTGTGTGATATCCCCCGGTGCTCACTTGTTGTTTGCTCTAGTTTGACACCTTGCACCTGAGAGCTGCCACGTACACTGATATCATCTACCATTAGCAATTTCCAGCTCCACTGAAGCATCTTTAGAACTCAAGTTGTTTCCTGCTTCCCAAAAGCATCTCAAAAGTTTATTTCCTACAGAAACGTAATGGGTCCTAACAGTTCTTATCTTCACGATGAGTCATTTGGAAAGAAAACTGTCATGCAGAGACCTCTTCATTGTGAACAAGTCTCTCCTCGGATAGTTTACAATAAAAACTAAGTTAAAGGAAGGCCACCGTGTCTTACAGGAGTCGTAGAAGCAAGAAAAAGCAATTGCTTTTGCCTTTGAATGCCCCACTACACAACATGGAATATTAAAATGTGCAATCTTCTAACAACCCTACCCTATTCCTCTGACCTGCAGTCTGACCTGCAGTCTGACCTGCAGTCTGACCTGCAGTCTGACACTATTCTATTGTGTTAGACTGCAGCAGTGGCTCAGTCTGTAGGGACTTGGTCTTGGAACCGAAGGGTCGCCGGTTCACGTCCCAATCGGACCAAAACAAAAAAGATGGAGTGAGCTGGTAGCTGGAGAGGTGCCAGTTCACCTCCAAGGCCACTGCCGAGCTGGTATACTAATATACAAATACTCTGTACTTATTACAGTCTGCGTCTGGTTTAAAAAAAATGTTGTTGTTGGTGTTTAACCTCGAAACTGCTCCCTTGGCGCCGGGTACCTGGCAGCCTCTCTGCTCTGCCACCTCTCCTATCGGCATGTGTGTGTGTGCATGTATATCCTCTGTGTTTGTGCATGTATATCCTCCCCTATGTGTGTAAACACAACAGAGTGGGAAAATAAATTTCCCTGTAAGGGATTAATAAAGTATATCTTCT